ACACCACCACTAAACGGCCTTGTAGCTCAGGCCGTGAACCTGACGACTGAGACCAGTTCTTCTCTCGGCCACAGTCGTTTGACTAGAAGTCGAACCCGAAACAGGCGCATGATTTAAACATTTTCTACCCAAACCCCATCGCCATCTCGATGCACGGTAGACTGTGCTGGCACGCCCGCGCACAACTGCACTGCATCCAAAAGGAGGACGTCACGTGTTGACGCACATCCTCTCTGCCCAGAGCACCAGGCCGCGAGATTTACGACGGACCAACAGAGGTTGGAGCAAAATTGTTTGAATTTTGCATTGTCGAATTGCCGACCGTTGTCTGTGACAATGGCTTGGGGGATACCAAAGCAACATACCATATTTTGCTAGACAAATGTCTTTATGCAAGCTATTGTGATAGTAGCTAGGGCTTCAACTTCGGCCCATTTTGTAAAATAGTCTACAGCAACAACCAAGTACTTTACCTGGCCTTTACCCTCTGGCATGGGTCCAATGAGGTCCAGGTCCCCATTGGGCGAATGGTCATGGACTTACCATTACTATCACTGGTTTGGCTGGGAATTGTGGAATATTGGGAAACCTTTGGCATTTGTCGCCCTTTTGGGTGAAAGTTTGGGCGTCAGTGTGGAGTGATGGCCAAAAATACCCTTGCCAGAGATCGAGCGCCTGAATGGTTGTTACAAATGCCCTCATGGATCTCCCGAATGACATAGTTCCCTTCGTCTGGGTCAGACACCGAAGGTAGGGGGACTGAAGCAGCGTTTGTATAGAGAGCCATTAATGATCAGGTATCTAATAGAGCAATAGTGAACACGTCGCACTTCAGCAAGATTGGCAAACAATGTCTGGTGTTGTAAGAACTGGAGGATGGGGTCTATCTATGTGGGGCTATGGTCAATGGCACAAATGGTTGGTGTTTGGGTGTTGGGCTGGTCTAGAACCTCCATGTGCTTGTTGCAGCCAATGTCTTGTTCTAAGGATGAAGCTAACCTTGCCAAAGCCTCGGCATGGTTGTTTTCATATCGTGGGATCTAGCTGATTCGATAAGCGTCGAAGGTTGTCAACAAGTGATGGGTATGCTGAAGGTATGCCGTTATAGAGGTGTTCTTGACGTTGAAGTCCTGGTTGACTTGATGGACGACGAGCTAAGAGTCGCTGAATATTTGGATATGTTTAGTGCCCATTTCCTTGGCCAGCCAAAGGCCAGCTAGGAGTGCTTCGTATCTGGCGACATTATTGGAGGCGTGGAATTTAAAGCGAATGGCATATTCTAGGACGACTTTGTTTGGAGAGGTGAGGACAAAGCCTGCCCCACAACCCTAGACGTTTGAGGAACCATTGACAGATAGTGTCCATAAGGGCTCATTGAGGTTGAAGTTTCCTTAACTAGCGATGTGGACGAGGGTTAAGGGAGGAGTAGGTTCTGGTAAGACTAGAGGCGCGGTTAAAGCTTGGGGTTCTATAAATTCAGAGATAAAATCGGCAACAGCCTGTCCCTTAGTCGCCGATCGTGGCTTAAAGTGAATATCAAATTCACCGAGCTCGATGGCCCACTTAACCAATCTACCGGATGTCTCTGGCTTCTGCAACACTTGTTTCAGAGGTTGATTGGTGAGGGCGTGAATGGTATGTGCCTGGAAGTAGTGTTGGAGGCATCTGGCTGAGACTATGAGGGCAAAGGCCAACTTCTCTTATTGCCTTTAAAAGCCTTGAAAAATGGGGCGCAGCAGTCAATAGCCTTCCTGGGATTGAGTTGCATGTTGTACCGCTTCATTTCTGCGAACATAGTAGATAGGTTAGGGATGTGCTGGTCGGATGTGCGACTTTTGACTAGCATGTCATCGACGTAGACTTCCATGGTATGACCGATTAATGGGGCAAAGAGGTTGTTCACGAGGCATTGGTAAGTAGCGCCAGCGTTTTTGAGGCCGAAGGGCATCACCTTGTAATAGTAGATGCCCCGATTGGTAATGAATGATGTATGGGCCTGGTCATCAGGGTGCAAGAAGATCTGGTTGTATCCAGAGTAGGCATCCATGAAGCTAAGAAGAGTGTGGCCTGCTGTGGCGTCCACAAGCTGGTCAATCCGAGGTGGAGGGAAGCTATCCTTGGGACAGGCTCGATTGAGGTTCGTGTAGTCTACATACATGCGCCAACCTTTCTTTCGTTTGCGGACCATCACCATGTTTGCCAGCCACGTGGGATAATCTACCTCTTTGATGAACCAGATGCTTTATAGCTTCTCTACCTCCATCTTCAGGGCTTCGTACCTCTCTAGGTCAAAGGTGCGAAGCTTCTGACGAACGGGACGTATGGCGGGGTTAATGCTTAACCGATGGGAGATGATGTCAAGGAATATGCCAGACATATCATTGTAGAACCAAGCGGACAACATCGCCAGAGAAACTCACAAAGGGCGTGATGCTTCGGTCAAGCAAATGGTCAGGGACCTGAAGTTCATTGAAGGCTTCAACAAACATGACACTGACCACGCTACCTGTATCGACCAGAATACGCCCAACATCGAAGTTGGAGATGTCTGCCTGAATAATCAGCGAGTCATCATGGGGAAAGATGACACCATGCTTGGAGTTAAAGTATTCTGCCTTGGTATGAATAGTTGCTTGCTTCATTAGTTCAGTATAAGTGTTCCATAGGTTGCTGTGGACCAGGTAGCGGAAGTTGGATTCGCAGAGGCCACTCTTGAAGGTGCCGAAGGCAACTCGATCGTCTGTCTCTGGGTAACAGGAATATTTGTGGCTGAAGGGGGCGGCGTACTCCCTCAGGGGCTCATCTTCTCCCTGCTAAAGCATGTATAAATCGTCCGCGGAGTACAAGCAATCAATCTGAATTATGAAATGGTCTAGGAAGGTCTGTTTTAGGCTGTCGAAAGTATTGATAGTTCTAAGGTTCAGCCGATAGAACCAGTTTAAAGCAGCGCCGCTAAGGGTGGGGGGGAAAATGAGGCACATGCCTTCATTGTTGGGACCTTTGCATCCTAAGGTGGACTGAAAAGAGTGGATGTGTGTCAGGGGATCCTCCTTGCCTGTGTAGAAGGCAATGCAGAGCAGCTGAACATCCTTCTCCTGACGATAGTTAAGAATACGCTCAGTGAAAGGGCTAGGGCGTGGCTTTGTCCAAAGGAGCTGATGGCTGTGATGGTGCTCATGCTTAAGACGTCGCATGGTAGGGTCGGCTTCAGGGAAAGCATTTGGTGGCAATGACTTGTTGTGTTGGTTGGGTGGGGGTGGCTTGGTTTCCCATTCGCCAAAAGCTCCCACTCCTTAAGATTGTAAGCTTCGCAATCGTCCAAGTCCTCCATTCCTTCCTGGGTAGGCAAGCGAGCGGGCTATGGGAGGGGACCTAGGTGTGCCAGCCTTGGATCATCGAGGTCGAAAGGAGTGGGGATGGGCTTTGGCCGAAGCTCCGAGATGCAGTCCCTGCAATCCTTGTAAATCTTGGTTGGGGCATAAGGCCAATCCCTTGGTGGGGAGATGTGGTGGAGCCTCGACTTGGTCTCCTCTAGATGAAGATGACCTTTGCCTTTGTCAGGCCTAGACTGAGTCGGGGCACTATGGCGGGAAACAACGAGTTGGTTCGGTTAGGTGCATTCAGCACCCTGGGTGAGGTCCTGTTGGGTGAATTGGTGGTGAGTGTTCTCCCAATTCTGCTTCAGGGTTCGGCAGTCATGTTCTAGTTCAGCATTTTGGGTACAAAAATGATCATAGCTCTCCGTGATCTTAGGGCTATTGGCATGAAGGCGCTCCACTCCGGCCCGGAGGATAACTTCACTCGGTATAGCAGAGTGGGTATCGAGGCTAACTTTACTTGGTATAGTTGAGTGCGTATCGAGGCTAACTTCACTTGGTATGGCGGAGTGGAAGGGGCAGAAGAGGCGCAGGGTCGGATGGGAGATGAAGCCAGTGGGACTGGTGAAGAGGTGGGATTCAGAAGTCGATTCTCACAGACGGCGCCAAACTGTTGATGCTTTTTTTGGGAGAGTTAACTTAGGTGAAGAAGTGGTAGATCTTTAGCAGGGCGAGAGGGTCATGGACCTTCAACACGGAGGGGTCCTGCATGGGACAATAAGGAAGAAGCAGTCATCAAACTTCGAACACCAGTGTGGCACCTGCCGAAGGCTCTCCGATGCTTAAGTCAGCTATATATGGTAATTTTGGTAGGGTAACAGTAAATGTGAGAAAATAGTTACCATTTTTACTTGGGCATTGTTCCCTATTTATAGGAAAGTGAAAGTGAGACTTTGTGCAAATTGTTGTGGAGGTGACGCGTGTCCACAATCCTAGGTTCTTTAGTTGAGAGCTTTGGCAACCACCTTCGGCAAGCAGTTGCCGCGTTAAAGGGGCATCATGGTGTCGCTTGATGTTATCATCGGTATGCCTATGCTGTTCGTGTCTTGATTCCCAATGCCAAATGTACTTAGTTAAATATGGTATAAACAAAAACAAATATATATATATAACATAATAAACTAACATTCGAAAGAAAGCCATATGGTCGGCTTTTTCCTCCATCGTTTTTCTATCTGTACCTGTGACTGGTTGTCCATACAAGTTTTCCTGTGCACTGAAATTCCTTCTGAAAAACTGAGTACGTTTTGAAAACAAATAGAGCAAGAGAGGGAGATAGAAGAAAAGCCATACCAACGTGGAAAGGCCGTCGGAAGAGAGACCAAAAGAAAGTAGAGAAGTGTAGGCCTCTATGAAAACCTGATCACATTGCTTCACTATTTCTAAGCATCTGAAGGTGATGTCTTTCTCATCCGCCAATCCCAGTCCTACTATGTACAAGATCCCTCTCAATCTCGCCCCTCTAATTGGTGTTCTTGTCTCCGACTATCTTCCTTGTCTACCTTTGCTGAGGGTTTATGGTTTACTGTTGTTTTGTGGGGCTTTTCTCTCTTGCTAGGCTTGTTAAGTCCAACCATCCAACACAGTTCTCATGGGCTAGGTTGTAAAAGTTGGGGTCTTGACAGCAAAATTTATTTATGAGATATTTATTCAAAAAGTCATTTTAACATGACATATTATATAAAAATTTATATAGATCCTATTTGTAAAGAAAAACCCAAAACTAGCCACTTGTCATTTTCTAATTTCTTCTTAATGAGTTAATGGCTAGTTTTGAATTTTTGACTCCAAATATGCTCTATGAAAGTTTTTATATATTATATCCTGCTAAACTGAGTTTATTAGTAAAATCTTATTTATTTATTTAATACCGATGAGTTAGCTGAAGCCCAACCTTGTTCTCCTACAATTGTTTTGACTATTGTGTATATTTTTTTGGGGTCAAATATCAAGTCAAAGTGGGAGGTAGGGTTGGTTTTCAGACGGATCAAAACAGAATCAAGGGATTCCCATTCCAAGCCCAAAAAAATTGGAATGAAAATTATATTCCAAAAAATTTCACAATTTAACATATTTTGGAAAATTTCATAAAATTCTTGAAAATATTAAGCATGTCTAACGATTTGAAAGGCTAAAATTGGCTCAAAATTGAAAAAATCAAACGAAAAACTATTATATGTTATGACTTAGATGTTGTTATCGTTTATGAAATTACTCGTCTATGTCTATTTGGTCATTTTTAGTACAACATGAAATTAGTCATATGTGTAATTTAAAGAGTATAGCCGACGGCTATACTATTTATAAAAAAATGACCTCGGTAAAGCCGAATGGCTATACTTTCTTTAAAAAAAGAAAAAAAAATTCTCAAGTATAGCAGTGTGGCTATACTATATATATATATATATTTATTTAAAGGACGAGCAATACTTTTTTTTTATAATAAAAAATCGTAGTATAGCTGCGCAGCTGTACTCTTTAAGTATATTATATTTAAAAGGAGTATAGCAGCACGGTTATACTATTTACTAAATAAAATAAAATAAAAACCGACCCCAGTATACTCATTAAAAAAATTCTCAAGTATAGCCGTGCTGAAACGACAGTTGAAGACTCGTCGGTTGTTCCATATTATTGCACAATGACAGCGACTCGTCGTCTTCAGTTGTGGAGGAAGACGTGGATTTCGATGTGTCGTCGTCGTCATTTGGTTTGGACTTGGGATGTTTTTCTTTGGATTTTAGTTGATTCAGGGAATGTATTTTACGGTTTGATGCTTGATTTATCTTTTGTTACTATTTCAGTTATGGATCTCAGTTTTGTTTAACAATGTACTTCTATGACAGAGTATTAATATGATAGTTAACTGACAGAGTATTAATAATGTACTTCTATGACATAGTAATATTAACAAGATAGTTCGATGAGGTAATAGTTCTATGACATAGTATTAACAATGTATTTTTATGAAGAGCCCCTCCTTGGTTTTCACAATTTTTTTTAAAAATAATTTGTTTGGGTTTTAAAAAAATAATAATAATAATCTTAGCTATGCTTGTTTTGGGGTTTTTTTGAGTTTTGTGTGTTGACTTTTTTTAAGCTAATCAGTGGCAATCATGTAATTTATAGGAACTTCAACACCAATTTCTTATGTAGTAAATTGGTTTTGGGTGTATTTCTTAAGTGCATTCCATGTGGGTTTTTTATTTATTTATAATTTCAACCCTATTTTGGGTATAATAGTGAAGCTCTCTTTAATTTTCATAGTTTATTTTTGATTTTGGGACGGTTTACACGGAGTATATAAAATTACTCGACAAAACCCTTGTTTTATTTCATTTTGTTTTACCTCACATGGATAAACAAACTGTAAGGAAAATTCTCCAATAAGTATTTAATGTTAAGGATAAACAAACTGTAAAGCATCCTAGATAAATTCATACCATAGCGCTCATGTGCATGAAATAAATTACAAGAAGGAAACATCTATGGAGAATCTTTCTTCTGAAAAAAAAAAAAAAATGACACAGAGAAAGTGAAATGTGTGTAGAAAAGAAGCACGTTCTGATTAGGTAGCCAAACGATCAAGAGCAAGCAATTCCCCACATGTCATCATATGTACCGGCTTCGACAAATGCAGCATTTTAGTTGAGAGGAAATGAGAAACTTGTTTCATTGTTGGACGAGATTTCGGGCTAGAATTCAAGCATGAAAATGCTATCTTCACAAGAGAGACCACTTCGCTTGCAACTTGATGTGTAGGAGGGGAAATGCGTTGGTCCAAAACATCCACAATTGGTATTTGATGGGCTGGTAA